CTCGTGATCCACCTGCCTTGGCCTCCCAAAGTGCTGGGATTACAGGCTTGAGCCACTGCTCCCGGCCTGAGACAGGCTAGATTTTGATGACAGTAGGAGCAGCTTATCTAGAACAGAGACGAAGGCAGAGTATATGTATGTGTACAGATGCTGTGTGGTGGTTGGATGTCATGGTGGGAATCGGTAGATGTTTTATTCCAATGGTTTTCATTTTTTTTTCAGTCAAGTAAGAAGCCTGAGTGTAAGGATGGGAGAGGAGATGTTGAAGATGTCAGGAGAGAAGGTATGAAACAATCTAGGAGGGCAGGAGAAGAAATGCAATGGAGCAAACAGAGAGCTGGATTTAACCAAGGCTGAGGCTACGCTCTGTAAAGTGGATGGTAAGTACACTGAAGTGACAGAAGGCAAAGGGAAGTGAGACTGTCTGTCCAGGAATGACTGTAACAGTGGGCCGTGGAATCTAAGCTGATTAAAGGAGGAACATGGGAGCATGGGGGAAGTAAAGGAAGTGAAAACGTTCAGTCCCAGTGGGGTTGAAGGACTGCTGGAGCTGGAGTACTAGCTGAGGTGGGCTAGAAAAATAGGAGGTACTGGCTAGAGAGCAGGATGCCTGAAACCGAGAATATGGAAACAATGCAGTCACAGGTACTGATAAGATCAAGGGTCAGGCCCGATGTGGTGGCTCACGCCTGTAATCCCAGCACTTTGGGAGGCTGAGTAGGGTGATCACTTGAGGTCAGGAGTTCGAGACCAGCCTGGCCAACATGGTGAAATGCCGTCTCTACAAAAATATAAAAATTAGCTGGGTGTGGTGGCAGGCACCTGTAATCTTAGCTACTCTGGAGGCTGAGGCAGGAAAATCACTTGAACCTGGAAGGCAGAGGCTGCAGTGAGCTGATATCGTACCACTGCACTCCAGCCTGGGTGACAGAGTGAGACTCTGTCTCAAAAAAAAAAAAAAGTCAGACTATTGGAGTAGGTAGCTGAGGTGGGAATGAAAGGCAAGATCATTGTGGGGTAGCAAATCACAGAACTGATAGATGAAAATACTGGAAGGATCAGCTATAAAGATATTAAAATCACCAAGAATTAGGACTGGACCAGTTTTAAAAAGAATGACAGTGAGATCATAGCTAATGTAGAAATGGTAATGACAGGGGCAGATATGTGTGTATGTATATGATGATACAGAGTAGTAGTTGATGGTATATTCTGATGATTTGAGATTTACAACAGGGTGGTTGATATTTATATAATCTCAAAGTATTAAATCACTTATTAATCATGAAGAAAAAAAGAGGAACTACAGTGGAAAAACCTGACAGACACCACCTTAAACAAGGACTCAAAGTGAACAAAACCAGTATCAGGACAAAATGATATCACGTGCCTCCCGATAGGAAGCGCTGAAAACATAACTTCTCTTCTGCAGTATTCTCACCGAAATTACATAACTTGAATATAATCACAGTGAAACTTGAGACAAATCCAAATTCTATGAAATAACTGCCCAGGACTCTTATAAATGGTCAAAATCATAAAAGACAAAGAAAGACTAAAGAACTGCTCCATATTGTTAAAGCCTAAGGAAGCATGATGACTAAATGTAATGTGGGAGTCTGAAAGGAAACCTTGAAAAGAAAACTGGCACTAGTGGAAAAACTGATGTAATCTAAATAAACCCTGCAGTTTCATTAAGAGTACAAGCAATAGCTCATTTATTATGTTGCACTTTATTGCACTTTACAGATACTATGTCTTTCACTAATTGAAGGTTTGTGGCAATGTTATACTGAGCAAATCTATTGGTACCATTTTTCCAACAGCATGTATTCACTTAGTGTCTCTGTCTTACATTTTGGTAATTTTCACATTTCAAACCTTTTCTTGTATCTGTTATGGTAATCTGTGATCAGTGCTTTTTTTTTGAGACAGGCTTTCAAGACTGTTGCCCAGGCTGGAGTACAGTCGTGTGATCCCAGCTCACTGTAGCCTTTGCCTCCTGGGCTCAAGTGATTCTCCTGCCTCAGCCTCCCCGAGTCGCTGGGACTAGAGGCACATGTCATGACGCCCAGCTTAATTTTTGTATTTTTTTGCAGAGACAGAGTTTCACCATCTTTCCCATGCTGGTCTTGAACTACTGAGTTCAAGCAATCTGCCCACCTCAGCCTCCCAAAGTGCTAGGATTATAGGCGTGAGCTACCACACCCTGCCTAGATCAGTGATCTTTGGTGTTAACTATTGTAATTGTTTCAGGGTACCATGAACCGAACCCATATAAGATGGCAAACGGGGCTGGACGCGGTGGCTCACGCCTGTAATCCCAGCACTTTGGGAGGCCGAGGTGGATGGATCACAAGGTCAAGAGATCGAGACCATTCTGGCTAACACGGTGAAATGCTGTCTCTATTAAGAATACAGCCGGGCGCGGTGGCTCAAGCCTGTAATCCCAGCACTTTGGGAGGCCGAGGCGGGTGGATCACGAGGTCCAGAGATCGAGACCATCCTGGTCAACATGGTGAAACCCCGTCTCTACTAAAAAATACAAAAAACTAGCTGGGCGTGGTGGCGCGTGCCTGTAATCCCAGCTACTTAGGAGGCTGAGGCAGGAGAATTGCCTGAGCCCAGGAGGCGGAGGTTGCAGTGAGCCGAGATTGCGCCATTGCACTCCAGCCCGGGTAACAAGAGCGAAACTCCGTCTCAAAAAAAAAAAAAGAATACAAAAATTAGCTGGGCATGGTGGCGCATGCTCCTGAGCTACTCGGGAGGCTAAGGCAGGAGAACTGCTTGAACCCGGGAGGCAGAGGTTGCAGTGAGCCAAGATGGCGCCACTGCACTCCAGCCTGACAACAGAGCGAGACTCTGTCTCAAACAAACAAACAGAAAAACAAAACAAAAAAACCAAGATGGCAAACTGAACTGAAATATATGTATGTTCTGACTACTCCACTGACGGGCTATTCCTCTGTCTCTCTCCCTCTCCTCAGGCCTCCTTATTCTGAGACACAACAATATTGAAATTAGGCCAATTAATAATCCCACAATGGCTTCTAAGTATTCAAGTGAAAGGAAGAGTCTCAACGTCTCTTATTTTTTATTTTTATTTTTTAGAGATGGGGTCTTGCCATCTTGCCCAGGCTGGTCTGGAACTCCTGGACTCAGACAATCCTCCCGCTTCAACCTCCCAAACAGCCAGGATTACAGGCATGAGCCATTGTACTCAGACTTCAACATCTCTCACTTTAAATCAAAGACTGGAAATGATTAAGCTTTGTGAGGAAGGCATGTTGAAAGCCAAGAGAGGCCAAAGGCTAGGCTTCTCATGCCAAACAGTTAGCCAAGTTGTGAATGCAAAGGAAAAGTTTTTGAAGGAAATTAAAAGTGCTATTCCAGTGAACACATGCTGATAAGACAGTGAAACAGTGTTATTGTGGATATAGAGAAAGTTTTGGTGGTCTGGCTAGACATCAGACCAGCCACAAAATTTCCTTAAGCCAAAGCTTAAATCAGAGCAAGGCCCTAACTCTCTTCAATTCTAATGAAGGCTGAGAAAGGTGAGGAAGCTTCAGAAGAAAAGTTGAAAGCTAGCAAAAGTTGATTCATGAGGTTTAAGGAAAGACGCCATCTCCATAACATAAAAGAGCAAGGTAAAGCAACAAGTGCTGATGTAGAAGCTGCAGGAAGTTATGTAGAAAAATCTAGCCAAGACGGTTGATGAACCACAGATTTTATTTTTACTATTATTATTATTATTATTTTTTGAGACGGAGTTTCGCTCTTGCTACCCAGGCTGGAATGCAATGGCGCGATCTCGGCTCACCGCAACCTCCGCCTCCTGGGTTCAGGCAATTCTCCTGCCTCAGCCTCCTGAGTAGCTGGGATTACAGGCACGTGCTACCATGCCCAGCTAATTTTTTGTATTTTTAGTAGAGACGGGGTTTCACCATGTTGACCAGGATGGTCTCGATCTCTCGACCTCGTGATCCACCCGCCTCGGCCTCCCAAAGTGCTGGGATTACAGGCGTGAGCCACTGTGCCCGGCCTATTATTATTTTTTTAAGACAGAGTTTCTCTTGTTGCCCAGGCTGGAGTGCAGTGGTGCGATCTCGGCTCACTGCAACCTCCGCCTTCCAGTTTCAAGTGATTCTCCTGCCTCAGCCTCCTGAGTAGCTGGGATTACAGGCACCCGCCACCACGACTGGCTAATTTTTCTATTTTTAGTAGAGATAGGGTTTCACCATGTTGGCCAGGCTGGTCTCAAACTCCAGACCTCGTGATCCACCCGCCTCAGCCTCCTAAAGTGCTGGGATTACAGACGTGAGCCACTGCACCTGGCCAACAGATTTTCAATGTAGATTAAACAGCCTTATGTTGGGAGAAGATGCCATCTAGGACTTTCATAGCTAGAGAGAAGTCAATGCCTGGCTTCAAAGTTTCAAAGGATAGGATGAATCTCTATTAGAGGCTCATGCAGCTGGTGACTTTTAACTTGAAGCCAGTGTTCATTTACCATTCTGAAAATCCTAGGATCCTTAAAACTATGCTAAATGTACTCTGTCTGTGCTCTATAAATGGAACAACAAAGCCTGGATGACAGCAAATATGTTTACAGCATAGTTTACTAAATACTTTAAGCCCATTGCTGAGACCTGGTACTCAGATAAAAAGATTCCATTCAAAATATTACTGCTCATTGACAATGTACCTGAACACCTAAGAGCTCTGATGGAAATGTACAAGGAGATTCACGCTGTTTTCATGCCTGCTAACACAACACCCATTCTGCAGCCCATGTATCAAGAAGTAATACTGACTTTCAGGTCTTATTATTTAGAAAATACATTTTGTAAGGCTATAGCTGCCAAAGACAGTGATTCCTTTGATGGATCTGGGAAAAGTAAATCGAAAATATTCTGGAAAGGACTCACCATTCTAGATGTCATTAAGAACACTTCTGATGCATGAGAGGAGGTCAAAATATCAACATTAACAGGAGGGTAGAAGAAGTTAACTCCAACCCTCAGGGATGACTTTCAGGGGTTCAAGACTTCAGCAGAGGAAGTAACTGCAGAGATGGTGGAAATAACAAGAGAATCAGAATTAGAAGTGGAGTCTGAAGAAGTGACTGAACTGCTGCCATCTCACGACAAAACTTTTTTTTTTCTTTTTGAGATAGAGTCTTGCTCTGTCGCCCAGGCTGGAGTACAGCGGTGCGGTCTCAACTCACTGCAATTTCCACCTCCTGGGTTCAAGAGATTCTCCTGCCTCAGCCTCCTGAACAGCTGGGACTACAGGTGCCCACCACCACACCTGGCTAATTTTTTTTGGTATATTTAGTAGAGACAGGGTTTCACCATGTTGGCCAGGCTGGTCTTGAACTCTTGACATCGGTGATCTACCCGCCTCGGCCTCCCAAAGTGCTGAGATTACAGATGTGAGCCACTGCACCTGGCCCATGATTAAACTTTAATAGAGCCTGGGTAACAAAGTGAGACCCTGTCTCCACAAAAAATTTTTGAAAAATTCCTGGGCATGGTGGCACATACCTGTAGTCCCAGCTACTCCAGAGGCTAAGGCAGGAAGATTGCTTGAGGCCAGGAGTTAGAGATTAGCCTGGACAACATAACAGGACTCCACCTCTGCAAAATTTTAAAAATTGGCTGGGCGTGGTGGCACGCACCCATAGTTCCAGCTACTTGGGAGGCTGAGGCAGGAAGATTGCTTGAGCCTGGGAGAGCTAGAGTGAGCCATGACTGCGCCACTACACTCTAGCCTGGGTGATAGAGGTGAGATCCTGTCTCAGAAAAGAAGTTAGTAGATGAGGAGTTGCTTCTTATGGGTGAGCAAAACAGTGATTTCCTGGGATGGAATCTACTCCTGGTGAAGAAGCTGGGAATACTGTGGAAATGACAACAAAGGATTTAGAGTATTACATAATCCTAACAAAGCAGTAGCAGGGTTTGAGAGGACTGACTACAGTTTTGAAAAAAGTTCTACTGTGGATAAAATGGTATTAAACAGCATCACATGCTACAGAGAAACTTTTTGTGAAAGCAAGAGTCAATGCAGCAAACTTTATTAATGTCTTATTTTAAGAATTTGCCATAGCCACCCCAACCAGCAACCCCCACCCTGATCAGTCAGCAGCCATCAACATTGAGGTAAGACCCTTCACCAGCAAAAAATTACAACTTGCTGAGGGCTCAGATGATCATTAGCATTTTTTAGGAATATAGTATTTTTAAATTAAGGTATATACTTTTTTGATACAATGCTATTATACACTTAATAGACTATAGTACAATGTAAACATAACTTTTATATGCACTAAGAAACCAAAAAATTCATCGGACTTGCTTTATTGTGTTGGTTTGGAACTCAACCTGTGATATGCCTGTATGTACCAATGTTAATTTTGTAGTTAAACTGTAATTACATAATTTCTTTTTTTTTTTTTTTTTTGAGATAGAGTCTCACTATGTCGTCCAGGCTAGAGTGCAGTGGTGTGACCTCATGTGATCTCAGCTCAAGAGTTTCTCCTACCTCAGCCTCCCAAGTAGCTGGGACTACAGGCACATACCACCAAGTCTGGCTAATTTTTGTATTATTAGTAGAGATGGAGTTTTACTATGTTGGCCAGGCTGGTCTTGAACTCTTGACCTCAGGTGATCCACCCGCCTTGGCCTCCCAAAGTGATGGGATTACAGACGTGAGCCACAATGCCTGACCCAGTTTTTTTGTTGTTGTTTTTTTAAGACAAGGTCTGTATGTCACCCAGGCTGGACAGAAGTGGTGTGATCTCAACTCACTGCAACCTCCTCCTCCCAGGCTTAAGTAGTCCTCCCATCTCAACTGCCCAAGTAGCTGGGACCGCAGGTGTGTGCCACAACACCCAGCTAATTTTTGTATTTTTTGTAGAGACAGGGTTTCATGTTGCCCAGGCTGGTCTCGAACTCCTGGACTCAAGCGATCTACCTGCCTTGGCCTCCTAAAGTCCTGGCATTACAGGCATGAGCCATCACACTTGGCCCTGTTTGGGGTGCACTTTTGACTGTGACAATAACTGGAGATCATCAGTGACAACCCGGGCTACAGATCAGGGATGCTCAACCCTCTGCAGTGTAAAGGATAGCTTCACGCCACAAAGAATCATATCACATCCCATACACCTTTAGACTATCTCACCAGACAGTCATGTAGGTGAAAAACCTGTTCATTTATGTTTTTATTCATTCAACAAACGTTCACTGAGAGAAAGTCTACCAGGTGTCAAGCACTATTTCAGGTAATAGGTTTATATCAGAGAACACAAAACACAAAAATCCCTGCCCTTCTGGAGCTTACAATTGAGTGGGAGAGTCAGACAATTAACAGCAAACATACTAAGCAGTTAATGCTACACTGTGAAGAAGGTGTAGAATGCCACAGAACAGATAGAGCAGGGGCATGATAAGAGACAGCTGCGATTTTAAACAGGATGGTCAGAGGGGCTCTCTGAGAAACTGACAGCTGAGTAGAGAGGCCTGAAGGAAGTGAGGGCCTGCGCCTTGTGGATATTTGAGGAAAGAGCATTTCAAGTACACAAAACCCTCGAGGTGTAAGCGTCCCTAAGGTGTTCAAATAATAATAAGGAGGTCAGCATGAGTGGACAGAGTGAGCAAGGTGAGCAGAGTGAGCAGAGTGGTGGGAGATAAGGTCAGAGAGGTTAAGAGGGTCTAACCATGGATATTAATATATACTGATTTTTCCAGAAATTCAACAACCATATAAATTGAGAAACTATTCCACATTGTTTTGTTTAGAACTTTGTGAAGAATGTTCATCATTTAGGAAATGAACATTGGTGGCTTCTGAGCCACCAATCAACACACACGTAGCTGTCACTATCATTAAGTGTAAGACCATTTCATTATGTCTTCTAGTGGAGTCATATCCCAGTCTTTAAATACATATTATGTAATATGCAGTAATGTATATGTGATATTATATAATAATTTTATATATTACTCCTCCTTTACTACTCCCTATATTACAATTAGGGCATTGCATTGGTTTTCAGGGAATTATGTGTGTAGATAGATTCTATTTTCCATGCACTTCAATTTAGAATAGTGAAGCATTCCAAAATATACCATATATATATATACATATATATATATATATGTAAGCAATGTTGGGTCCAACAGGTATGAGAACAACCAAAACACAGCAAGAAAATAAAGGGAGTATTCAGAAGCCAGGATGAGAATGGAGGGAATTTTGCTGATAACTGAAGGTGAGTTCCTTAAGGCCTGGTCAAAGGATTTCAGGATGGAAATAGAAAATAGGATGTCCAGGGCTGTATGGAGATGTAACCAGGAGATCTGTGGGCTTCTTGTGGTGACTAACATTATATAAGGGGCCATTAAAAAGTGGTTTTTAATCTAAGTTGCTGCCCAGTTTGGGTGTCTTTACCTGTTTAACAGAGTAGGCTGGGGAGCAAAGAGAGTTCTCTCCTCAATGAGACCTGAGGTAACCCAAAGCCAGGCTCCATTTTTCACCCACAGCACAGGTTGGAGCCCCGGGCTAAGCTCATGTCCTCGGGCCAAACTTATTGCTATAAACTATGCACCTGTAGCCTCTTTAGGGTTAAGAAAGAAACAGGTAAAAAGAGGAAAAACAGTAACAGAGAAAGACAAGCATTCAGAAAGATCCAATGGAGGACAGATCAGAGACAGAAAAGACAGAGATTAAGAGAGACAATATGCTTTTGAATCAAGATAGTCATTATTTATTGAAAATTTTCTAGGGACTGGGTGCTGGGCAAAGTAACGCACATGCATTGTCTCAGGTACAGATTATCAGATCCCCATATAACAGATGAGGAAACTGAGGCCCAGGTGGGTGAAGGAGATGGCTCAAGGTCTCATAGCTGGTTTAAACTGGTCAGGTCAGCGTCTTATGTCTACTATGTCTCAAAAAGGGAGACAGACAGAAAGAGACAGAAATGGGATAGGATATGCAGACAGACACGAACGCAGACGATCATGTGAGCGGCAGGCCCGCACGGAATCATTTCGAAAGACACTGAGGGTAGCAGGTGGGGCCGCGGAGGACAGCATCGGGCACCGAGTGTTCTGCAGGGTACTCACTTGGTTGCCGTCTGGGAGCCGCAGGACTACTTGGCATCTCTGCCACCCGCACGATCCTCCGCAACCAATTGACCTAGGGTTTAGACACCGCCCAGTTAAACGCTTGCGCAGGCCCCATCCCTCGCGCGCTCCAGCCGGCCTCTTCCCGCTGCTACTCCCCCCAACCGCCAAGATGCCAGGATGAGAATAAACAGAATTTTGCCGATAACCGAAGGTTGAGTTCTTTAAGGCCTAGTCAAACGAGCTCAGAATGGAAAGAGAAAATAAGACGTCCAGAGTTTCTCACCTTACACCTCCAGCCGTCAGCGTCGGTACAAACGCTCCGGACGCCGCCGACGCCGACGCGGGCCGCCGCCGACGCCGCCGACGCCGCCGACGCCGCGCGCGCATTGATACGACAGACTTGCAGCATTAACTGGCAGATAGACCCTTCCGCGGGCTGGAGCGCGAGCAGGGGCACGGACCTACGCCGCTACGAACGGCTCCCTGGCTCCCATTGGAGGATTGCCCTTCTGCCTTTCCTGGGATTGGCTGGGGATGGAAGCACTTTATTTTTGTCCCCGAGGCTTAGATGCAAACTGAGGAAAACTCTGCCCCTTCGGAGGACTTTGGTTGGTTTAAGAGCCAAGCCCACCCTTTAACAGGATTGGCCAGGAAAGGAGTTCTTGTCTTTGGCCGTTTCCGGTCTATTTGACAGAGTTGGTGGGGGGCTAGTTGGGAATACGCAGGCGCGAAGCCGGAAGCCAAGCCAGGCGCGAGTCACCAAACAATCGAGATGCTTGGCTTCTTTGACGTCTTACTCTCCATAAGCCACCTTGCACTGCCTCCGTTCTGTTAAGAGACGCGATTCGCACCCAGTTTCCCACGGCTCCGCACCCAGTTTCTCACGGCTCCACACCCACCTTCAGGGATCCCTAAGCCAATTTTCTCTCTCTCAAAGTGAGCAGAGTTCCTAATTCCACATGTGTGGAGGATGAGGTGGTTATAGGGATGTGGCGCGGCACCCACCGGTCCCTGATACTGAGACACTGGTCAAGTGACAACCTTGCTAGGCGTCTCAGTTTAACCATCTGGAAATGGAAAAATGTTTTGAAATTTTCCTCGGAATGTGTGAGGATAAAATGAGAGGGCATATATAAATCAGTTGCCTGGGGGATAAATAATTAAGTTCTCTCCTCCCAGTTCTTTCCCAGTGCTCAGGCGGACAGAACTTTCGACCCAGAGAGGCAGACTAACTTATTTGAAGTCACACAGCAGGCCCCACCCCTTGCGCACTCTGGCCCTGTCTCTTCCCATTGTCACTCACAACCAACGACCAGTCTTTAAGGCGTCTCACCATACACCGCCAGCAGTCGGCGCAATAAGACCCAGAATAAAACCCAGGCCTTTCGTCTTCCAAAGAAAGCTGTTTAAGGAAGGAAAGAAGGGACGGACCCTCCGATTTGCAATAGTTCTTAATTTGGATTCTACAGACCTCTAATCGAGTCTGGGGACACGGTTTGGAGAAGTCCTTGAATTTGAATGGGAACAAATTTACATCTTTATTTTACCTCTCCTCTAACGGAAATTTAGCATTTTTTCAAAAAAGAATGTAACTAGCCATAGTAGCAGTAGTAGTAACAGTACTGATTGTCACTGATAGAAACCAGAGATTTTCATATCACATTGTAGATGTTGCAGATCTCTTGAAAATCATAATCTCGGCCGGGCGCGGTGGCTCAAGCCTGTAATCCCAGCACTTTGGGAGGCCGAGGCGGCTGGATCACGAGGTCAAGAGATCGAGACCATCTTGGTCAACATAGTGAAACCCCGTCTCTACTTAGAATACAAAAAATGAGCTGGGCATGGTGGAGCGTGCCTGTAATCCCAGCTACTCAGGAGGCTGAGGCAGGAGAATTGCCTGAGCCCAGGAGGCGGAGGTTGCATTACACTCCAGCCTGGGTAACAAGAGCGAAACTCCGTCTCAAAAAAAAAAAAAAGAAAAAGAAAAAGAAAATCATAATCTCTATTATTTAAAAATCATGATAGTCATTAGACCCTCCATTAAATCTTATGATTTAATGGATGAATGGGGAGTACATATACAATTATACTATAGTACATATATGCTTTTTCCATATTTTAATAACTAAACTTCAATATAACCAATTTCTTTTGTAATCTAGATATTTTATTCTATGAACTTAAACGCTTTTTTTTTTCTGTGAAAAGGTCCAGCTGGGCGCAGTGGCTCATGCCTGTAATCCCAGCACTTTGGGATATAGAGGTGGGCAAATCACCTGAGGTCGGGAGTTCCAGACCAGCCGGGCCAACATGGTGAAACCCTGTCTCTACTAAAAATACAAAAATTAGCCTGGTGTGGCGGCAGGTGCCTGTAATCCCACTTACTTGGGAGGCTGAGGCAGGAGAATCACTTGAACCCAGGAGGCAGAGGTTGCAGTGAGCCAAGACCACCCCATTGCACTCCACCCCAGGTGACAAGAGCAAGACTCCATCGAAAGAAAGAAAGAAAAAGAAAGAAACAAAGAGCCAGGCGCGGTGGCTCAAGCCTGTAATCCCAGTACTTTGGGAGACTGAGGCGGGTGGATCACGAGGTCAAGAGATCGAGACCATCCTGGTCAACATGGTGAAACCCCAACTCTACTAAAAATACAAAAAATTAGCTGAGCGTGGTGGCACGTGCCCGTAATCCCAGATACTCAGGAGGCTGAGGCAGGAGAATTGCCTGAACCCAGGAAACGGAGGTTGTGGTGAGCCGAGATTGCGTCATTGCACTCCAGCCTGGGTAACAACAGCGAAACTCTGTCTCAAAAAAAAAAAAAAAAGAAAGAAAGAAAGAAAAGAAAGAAAGGCAGGAAGGCAGGAAGGCAGGAAGGCAGGAAGGAAGGAAGAAAAGGTCCATAGGCTTCACTAGATCACCAAAGGGGTCCATGGCACAAAAAATATTAAGAATATTTGTCTTGAACCCTAGGCTCCAGGAGGACAAAGACTTGCCCTATCTTCTTTCCTTTCTATATCCCTTTCACCCAGTTCAGTACTTCAGGCACACAGTAGGTACTCATAAGTGTTTACTGAATGAATAATAGGATTCCTTCTCAAACATTCTGCACACCCCCAATTGGGGAGCCTGTGCTGGTCCTTTGGATCACCTAAGAATGGGGGACATTCTTGAATCTGGTTTTGTCCCTGCCAATCTGATTCTGCTCACAGAAGTGGATGGCAATTTAAAGGTCTGGTCCCGGGAAATCCCAGGAACCTCCCACCCAGGAGCAAGGCCCTCTGCTGCAAAGGACTGAGGGTAAGCTAGAAAGAATATGAAGAAGTAGTTTCAACATGGGAACAGGCCCTAGGGCACATCTGGCCCATGACTCTTTATCCTCCTGGTTTCTGTTTAAGGTCTTAGCCAATAGGTCTTGTCTTCTCTGGCCTTCAGCGAAGACAAAATCTTGGAGCTAGATGTGACCTTAAAGACCTAGAACAGTCCTCCCTTTCAGAGGTCCAGACTGAAGAGTGAGGGCACAGGGAACAAGATGTTACTCTGGGCAAAGAACATCCTGTCCTCCCATGCCTCAGCCAAGGACATGAGCACCCTGGCCAACAATATTAGACTCCTACGATTGACTCTTAAGAGCATCCCTGAAGAGGAAGACCAGAGGCCATCTCTAACAGGGTGGGTGAAGAAGAGTCTCAAATGCCAGGATGAAGGGCTGGGGATTTAATTGGGGAGACAGAGAGGAACCAGGGAAGAGCACAGTGAAAGCCAGACTTCAGAGACCCACTTCAAGGCTAGACTCTGTCTTGAGAATTTAGGCAGGTTGCTTCTCCTGGACTCATCCCCTAGCATGATAAGCCTCAGTTTACAGAGGGAAAACTGAGGCCCTCTAGAGAGGACAAGGAGAGTCATGTTGTGAGGTAGGGCCAACTGAGGCAAGAGTAACCAGGCTGGCTACTCTGGCTCTGATTGGCTAGGATCCTTTGGCAGGCTGACCTCTTCCTGGCCTACTCCAATGCCTTTGCCCCTGCTGCTTTCCCCTCCGCTCCTCTTCATCGCATGCTCATTGGGGTTGGCTCCAGATATTGCATGTAGATGTCTCTTTTCTCTACACAAGATGCTTTGACTTAGGATCCTGCACTTTCATCTCTGGCCTTGAGGTATTGCATTACTTTGCGCAAGACATTCCCCTTTCTGAGCCTCAGTCCTCCCTACCCACCTCTGACAGCGCATCGAAACCTCCATCTTGTCCCCAAAACATTTATTAGAATCATGGAGAGATATGTCCAGGATCTGGTATTCCAACCATCTCACAGAGGAGACCCAGAGAGGGAATGGGCCTTGCCAAAGGTCTCACACCAACCTGGCAGTCATCTTGACTCCTCTCCTTCCATATCTAAAGCCTGTCGAGTCCAACATCTTGAAAGCTCTCATGGAATAGACAAACTGCTCATGTGGAAGAATTCCAACTAATTTATACCCATACTTCCTTCTTAAGGAAATGGAGCATAACTCCTCATTCCCTAAGCATGGGCTGTGCTTAGCTTGCTTCCTTCCAAAGAGTACAGCTTGGAAAAAGGGAAAGAGGAGTAGCTTTACAGTGGAGAAACCTGATGGACACTGCCTCCTCCAGGTGATCAAAGTTAACATCAACAGTGATAAATCATATTGATAGTACATGCCCTTGATGTGATCTAGTGAAAATGGCATTTGACTTCTGTGGTCTTCCTTCGCCAAACCATATTCCCAGTTAGTCATGAAAGAAAACATCAGACTAATCGTGATTAAGGGACATTCTGCAAAATACCTGACCAGTACTCCTCAAATGACTCCAGGTCATCAAAAAAAAAAAAAAAAAAAAAAAAAGGAAAGCCTGAGAAAGTGTCATAGCCAAGAAGAGCTTAAGGAGACGAGATGACTAAATGTAGTATGCTATTCTGGATGGGATTTTGGAGCAGAAAAAGGACATTAAGTTAAAACTAAGGAAATCGGAATAAAGTATGGACCTTAGTTAATAATAATGTACTGATATTGCTTCATTAACTGTGACGAATGTATCACACTAATGTAAACTGTTAATAAGGAAAACTTGCTGTGGGGTATACGGAATTTCTCTGTTATCTTCACAATAATTCTGTAAATTTAAAACTGTTCTGAAATTAAGTTTATTTTAAAAACCTCCCATATCTGCCCCCATCTTATCAATCTCACCTGAGGTCTAGCGTCTATTTCCTTACTGTTCTCCTTCCTTCCAGTCCGTTCTCCTGGCAGCCAGCAGAGGGCCTTCTCTAAAACGCAAATCTAACCATATCTGAAGCCTTCCAGCAAAATAAAGGCGTTGGATGGAAAGTTCGGGAGGCA